GGATTGGTAAGAGTATTTGAAAAAGACAACACATTGCAAATCGAATTCATTTTATTTGTTTCTTATTTTTAGATATTTGCGTATTTTTACTCAAAAGACTCAATTTTTATATACTCATAACGGCACTTCTTTGGTGGTAAATGCAAATTTCTACGCCATAATGGATCCTCCATTTTGGATTTAAGAATTTCCGTATTAAAACCTCCCATGTAAAAAAATTTCAATCAAATTTCACTCAAATTTACTCAATACTGCATCAATTTCTGTCCACACCCGATTGAGTGAAATTTTCACTCTATTAGTATGAGTACAATTGATTGTGAGTGAAACTATTGCATCAGAAATGAGTGAGTTTTACTCAAATCCGAATTCCTACTGCTAACTATCAATTGAGTGACTCTTGACTCTATTATAAATATATAAAACCAATTTAGAATTGACTTTTTCTCTAATATAATTTAAATTTAACTATTATTGAGTCATTTTTTACTAAGACTTGGTTTTTAATTAACTAAATATTGAGTGCAAAAATAAATCTAAAATGATTAATTATGATATATAGTGTTGAAATTAATTCACTTCGCGGGGCTTCCTCCTGTCCTGGCCGAGACCCGCCTGCTGAAACCCGGCGCGGTCGCCGGCTAAGGCCTGTTCTTCTGGCGATCACGCTTTTCTGGAGCATCTATCGGGCCCCTATCAACTGTGGTCGAGATTACAGAAGCAATATGTAAGTGGTGCCATCTTCATGGCGCCAATTAGGTACTCGAAATTATTATACATTTAAACTCACTCAGTAATGAGGACATTTACTCTGATTTAGGTACAAGAGCACCAAATACGAGTTTACGTGAAAAATTTATTTAAGGAGCACCTGTATTTGAGTGAAAGTACTCAGTTTTAGTTTAAATATAATCACAAAGGAGTAAAATGATGAAAATACCCAATATTGATTACTTTCACTCACACCGACTTTTTTAGTGTATATTCGTGATAAGCGACTTCGAAAACCACCGAGTAACAATTTCATCAATAATCTTCCGATTTTTATATCCGCCATATTGGATCCGCCATCTTTTATTCACGAATTTTCGGATTCGAAATTCGAAAAACCGGCTCAAATAAAATTCAGACAAAAATATTTAATAGAGAAATATGTGACTCCTCACTATTTCACCCTGTTTTAGGGGATATTTTAGCGTTTTACTAAAAAATGCCCTGGTAAATCGATTTTTGGACTGGGGGTTCGGATTCAACATCAAAAAATACACAAGATCTATGTACTCGTGTGTCTGGCACAGAATTTTTTTTGTGGAGCTGTGTAATTTGTTATTGTCAATCATTTCGTAGAAAATCAACCACATCATTAATTTGTTATTTAAAGCAGGTGCAACGTAAAAAATAAGCTGTATAATTTCAAGGCTATTAAGAGTGAAATTATTTTGGTGTTGAATTTTGAGTGAACAAAGTTTAACAAAAAAATAAGTTTATCAACAAATAGTTAGAAGTACTAAAATTGTTTGAGAACAAGCTGTGTAAAAATCACTCCATTCAGTATAAATAATACGCATTTCTGAGTTAAGACACAAAGTTGTGTACAAACAGATACTGATGCGCAGTTTGGGCTATACTGTCAGAAAACAAATACGTTTACTTATTTGCAATCAAGAATTGATTCAATCAAAAGTTATTCAATGTTGTCAATATAAGACTTATTTAGCTAACAAATAATTGAGTGAATCTTACTCAGTACTACAATTGGGTGTGGATTCGTTTTAACAAAAAATTGTGTTGATTTTGAGTGAAAATTTACTCAATTTTTTTATGGTTTATAATCGCAAAATATTTATTATAGAAATAAAACTCTATACATAACTCGAAACACACCAGCTGTTGGAGGACTATATTTACTTATCGAGATTATAATGTGGTTACAATCCAATCCAAGAATGGTTTTGTAAACTAAATTAAATTAATAGTACCATTTATTTCAGACGTTAGAATCCGGTTTGAAAATAGAACTGTACTATGAAGAACCTAGTTGTCGATGTAAATAAAACCGTTCTATTTCAGTAAACACAAAATAAAGTAAATGTTGATTATATTCACTATTTATAATATATTAAGGTTGGAATAATTTGAAAGACAATGTGTGTCTCCCTTATACCTTTACTCAAAAAATCAAATATATTCGTTGTTACTTATAAAAAAAACATATTTTTATGATAAATTTTTTAATTGCAACAAAAAAACAGTTTATACCTTAAACTAATATTCGGTAATTAATTGCAAATATGAAACTTAAAATAATACCTACATATTTGGTAAAATAACCTTGAAAATAAAAAACCTGGTATTTTTAGTAATATTTGATAAGTACAATAATTGCGTATATGAAAATTAAAATAATATTCAAGAAAATAATACTCCAAACAAAAAATCCAATATAATATTTGGTGCATACATGTATACTTTTTGATTAAACATGAACGTTTTGCAAAATGCCAAATTTCAGCTTAAACATTTGTTGACGACATCCTCTACATATTAAATGCTGGAAAGGAATTGGTTATTTATGTGTTTGTTAACTGTCATAATTATTATTAATGATAAAGTCAACTACTGCATTTCTAATCATTTGTTTATGTTGGCCAACATAAAATTGCATTTTTGTATATTTGAATACAAACATAAATTGTGAACATGAATGTACCATTTTAAATTAGAAACATTGTTTATCCCTAATAAATTATAGGTAAGCCTTTTTTCATTGGTACATCAATCTTATACATACAGGTTTTGCTCAAACAATAATTCAAACAGCTACAAAATTGACAAAAGTTAATTTTTTATATAATCTGCCTTACAAATACTGTACTGATTTAATAAATTCAAAATATTGAATATTTAGCATCAACAGATATTTCGCAAAACGTCTGGAATTTTGAACATTTTGGAAATTCGAGCAATTGTGAGTGAGAAAAACAGTGTTGTGAAAATTTTCTGTCTTACTGACGGAGATAAAAGGTATGTTAGTTTTAAATGTATATATTGCACCTACTGTGTTGAGATAATAACAATATAGATATGAAAGTATGATATGGTGATATGGTGATTGATGAAAAGATGTCCATTTTCTTTGTATTCAAATCTGAGAATAAATAAAATCCAAATTTTTTCAGAAGTTTGATGGTTTGATACACAGTGTTACAAAAAATTAAGTCTAGCATTAATTACAGAAACGAACGTAATATACATTTTTTGTATCTCCCCTTTTTCAAGATTCAGTGTCAAGGTGAAAACTTAAAATATTTTTATTAATAACTGTTACCTCAAAGATAATCAACTGAAATTTTGCACAGGCTTCTTACACTGGCACGCGTTGGTTGGAAAGCGCGGAGAAAGAGGGGGGTTATTGTAGCCATTTACATAACATTTTTAGAGCACATTTGTGATTTAAGAACCTTATTTTTTATGACAAACTCTTGCTTCTTTCATTTTTTTCTATTGTAAAATTTTGATTTAGAGCCAGATTTTCGAGATATTGCAACTTGATATGACCGGAATATGTATTTTGAAATATCGACTTTAACAAGAGTTTTGGTTAAACCTTATATCAATTTAATTGGTGTGATTTAAGTTAGCTGCACCCCAACATTGGAAAAAAAGAACAAGACAAAAATACGAAACCAATATTAAAAATTCAAAATTCAGTAAGTCTACCACATCTACGAATAAATATTTTGAATCTATTAATAAGAGGGAACCAAATATGTTGGACAAATTATAGTTTTAGCCTTCTACAATTCGTTTTCACAACTGTTATACTGAAATTACATATTTTGTACTAAAGACAAGTAATATTTTAGGGTTTCCATTCACGATACGATTTTTTATATTAAAACTGCAACAAAAAATGTGCCGGAATTAGATAAAAGTTCTTGTAAAGTTTCAACTATGTAAATATCATAAAAAACAACACAGTTATCAATAGTTTTCTTAAATTATGGCTTCGACACTTTGTATCTCGAAAGAGAAACACCAGAATGAAGTCATTAATAAAATCCTATTGTTGTCATCCAATGAATTTATGGTTAACGACTTGACTTACTTTTTGTGTAACACCCCGTATATAGTATGTGTAACATAATGTATATTCATTATTTTTAATTGCAAATCAGTTAAGAGCATGTTGTTACTGTTTTTTTTTCGTTTTCTATTAATGAAGAATTGGTATAATTTAGACAATATAAAGTTAAACTCAGATATATCAGGTATTTTCGAGTATTTAATTCTGAGTTGATAGAGAAAATTTAACATCGTCTATTATGTGATACTAAACGAAAGAATGTTCCGTCATTGGACGTGACTGTGTTAAAGAATCTTTCGCTCAATAAATTACAGTTTTTGATGTAAACAAAGTCACGTTTCAGCTATTAAATTGTATTAACAGTGCATTATCAGAAAACATAAAAATTTTAAAAGTAGGTAATTTTCTTTACATTCTGGACCAAAAAATTAAATATTTACCTCCAAATATTTTTTTCATTCAAATATAAAAAAATGTAAAAAAAATCGACCTTAAATTCAAATTATTGGATTATGTATTACGGATAGTAAATACTCAAATGTTTATCAACTCTGCAAAACTTTTGAAGAAAAGAACTAATTAAGTGTAGTTGAAATTTAAATTTTGTTAAAAACAAATAAAGAATTTTTGGAAACAGTTTTCCAGAAAAAGTATTGTTTATTAGATCAAACATGTTTTGTTATTGATTATTTCAATTGTTATTTACAGTTTTATTATTATTAATACTAATAAGTAATACTGCCTTGCTGATACACAGCAGCCAGATGTGTTTATTTTATTGCCATTTACATCTTCATGCAATCTGTATTGCCTCTATCGTCCCACTTATAGCATCATCGTAAAAATATAAATACATCATCCCATCATTAGCTATTTACATAATCCACCGTGGCGTATGTAAATGTAAACATACCTTATAAAAACAATATCTCGGCAACAACTATAGAAAGTAGAAACTTCACACGTTCAACACGTTCACATTTAAAATCCAATCCAAATTCGAAAGTAAGGCTATATTATCGGTTCAGCTCGAAACGAAAAACACATAACTTGGACACATAGCACACAAACGGCAACTAAACCACGAATATTTACTATTAGAAAGGTAGACGCTGTACCGTCAGATTACTTATTCGCCTTCTTCCAGAGCCAAGTCACTCAAGCAGTTTCGTACGCTGTTCTGTCTTGTGTTCATTCACTGCTGGGGTCCACTCCCATTGGTTAGCAAGGTCGACGAGCGTCACGTCACGGTTCGGGCAAGGTGTGCGGAGGAAGTCGCCTTCCGAATTTTGCGGTGTATTTCCGTCCCTTTGTAATAAGTCTAGATAAGAGGAATTTTGTGTATTTTACTTATTCCGGCGTGTCTGATTTAATCCAACTGAAATCAGGCCGTCTGGACAAGAAGACTTTCAGAAACATCAATTTACCCATTATTCCTCACTCCTCAGTAAAAAATTTAAAGGGGTACGAAAAAAAACAACATACAGGTAAACAAATGGTAACTTCCTTGGATGAGAATTGACCACTTTATAATAACCATTCTAAAGGCATTACCATAATTTAACGAAATTAATTTTCTTTCTAAAAAATATTATCGAATGTAGTGAAACTATTTTCTTCGATACCAGAAATTTAGGTGTGAAATAGTTATTTTTTTATCTAGTGCGCGAAATGCTACTTTGGTGATCGGGAATTGAATTTTTTAACGAGGCGAAGCCGAGTTCAAAAATTATTCGAGACCACCAAAGTAGTTCGCGCACGAGATGCAAACAATATTTTTTCTACAAACGTCAAAATCTATCCCTTAAAAATATTATAAATAAGTAAAATGCCTAATTTATTATAGAAAATAGTGTTGAGCTGGCTTAAAATGTCTTTCCTAATCAAATTTTCACTGTTACTATGGAAACAAAGTGGCTGTTGTTGACAACAATAATAATTATTTTAAAGTGACGTTTGTGCTCGCGTCTTCAATTTTAAGTGCCAGATATTATTTAAAATAATGGAAATTATTGTTATTCATTTAAAAATAAATAATAATTTGGAGTTTTGCTTCATTTTTTCAAAGATTGAAATACAAAACTCTTATTAATTTACATGCAGTGTGCGAAATATTTCGCACCCTAGTGCGCGAAGTATTTCGGGCACGGTGTCATGGTAACGTAAGAATCCGAAAAAAAGTGTTGTCAATGCGCAAACCTTGTCATTTTTTGACGTTTGTAGAAAAAAGATATCTAATCCCACAAACAATACTCCTAACTGTTGATGTTGCGTGAAAGAACTGCTCTATGGGCTGTCTCAACTAGCATTGAATTACAGTAGCAAATGGCTAGTAATAATTATCCAAAATTAAAATAAAAAATGTCTAAATATAATTAGTACATAAACACATACCTGATGTATGAAATTGTTAAATAATGTAATAATTCGAAAAATATCCAAGACGTAAAATACAGCTACTACAAAGAGATACTTTTATTTCCACATTTTACTTGAAACAATAAAAGTGGGAAAACAGATCTTTCTTGTAGTAGCAGTTTTTTAAATGTTATTCTTTGTCAGATGTTTGAACACGAAAATACAAGATATTTCTTTGAATGATTATATTATTTCACAATTTCAATATATCATTTTCAAATCTTATTTTGGATTATTACACCGGCCGGCACACGAAAAAAAAATTCGCGTGCGAAGATGTAGTGCTACTCATTTTGATGCCAATAATAGATAAAACCAAGCCAAAGTCTTGCCATTTTAATAACACAGCCACACAAAAAAAAAATTGTCTATAGTTTTCATGCGACATATGTTATTCGTAGTATCTTTGTAGTTTTGTAGTTTTAAAAACGGGTCAATTAAGGTCAGATATTACAAATTTTCAAAAAATTATAGATTCGCACCAAATTTGGAATACGGGGGTTTTCGGGGTCGCTGATTACGTATTCGAGCTCAGAATCGCGAAATTAATTTTGTAATATTTTTGTTTACTTTATAATCTGAGAACCCAATCATGTTTTAACCTTCTTTTTTTCGGCTAAAGATTTTTTTCTGTAAAAAATCTATTCACGGTTTTTCTGCCTAATGTCAGGTAATAAAGTAGGTACATAGGCAATTGATTAAATTTTTGAAAACGAATTTTGCATTTTGATCTGGGATTCGTAATCAGTGACCCCGAAATCCCCCGTACACCAAATTTGGCGCGAATGTGTTATTTTTTGAAAATTTGGTCGGCCACCGTCATGAATTTTGAAAAATTGACCTCGAATTTGTGATCAACCTCCCCGAAAAACCCCTTACACCAAATTTGGCGCGAATCTGTTATTTTTAGAAAATTTGTTAGGCCATCTTGGATCCGCCATCTTGAATTTTGCAGAATTGCACCAGATTCGTGATCAGGGGGCAAAAATACTACGGATAACATATGTCTCATGAAAAGTACAAACAACTTTTTTTTGTATAGTTGTGTAATTAATAGAATATCAGGCTTACAAAAAAGATCTGACATATCATTTCTGACGTACCAGCTGAAAACGATACCGTAGTCAAAATTTATAAACAATCGGCCATTATTTTGTTTAGGGTGAAAATAGATCCAAAAATCACTCAATTTAGCCAAAAAAGTAGGTATTCGCTTTGCTCAGACTAACGAGATTATGGTTAATTTTTGTTTCTGGAGTATCTTATTGGCCGGTTGTGCATAAATAATTACCACGGTTTCGTTCTCAGCTAGTCAAAATACGTCTGAAATGATGTATCAGATATTATGTAAAGCAAACTCAATTTTGGACTTAGTCGCGTTAAAGTAGGTTTTCACCTCGAACTTTGCCGGGACAGATCCGATTTGGCTGATTTTTTGTGAAAAATGTTCATTGAGACACTACTATCAAAGTTGGCCAAAATCCAGATGCCGCTCGGCACCCCCTCCCCCCCGAATTCCCCCCAGTGGGGGGGGGAATCTTGGCTAATCTCAACAAGGTACATTCTTCATAAAGTTGCCGTCCCGAGCGGGCCAAATGTTCCACTTGCGGGTTTTGAAGTGCCCTGAATCCATTTTTCGGGTCGAATCGCCTTTGCGACCTTCCCCAGGGGTGTGTAAAAGGGCGTCTGAGGGTTCAAAATATGAGATGTGCACGGCAATGTGTTTGGGCTGCTAAATTTGGTCACGGGGGTTTTGAAGGGCGGGGATCTCATTTTTATCGGGAATTAAGCCTTTTCAACTCATCAGCTCAACTCATGGGGTCCAAAATATGATGTTCACGCGGGATTGAATTTTAGCACACATAATTGGTACGCTTTAGTGTTATAAGGCTACCAACTTTATATTTAGGCGTCTTGCGACCCTGTGACCCAACTGTGGTCAACCCCTGTGGTCAAAAGGGGTCCCGGGGGCCAAAATATGAGATTTGATATCAGCATATAAAATTGATATGATTTGGCCAGCAAGTATACTGCTTGCACTTTTTGAGTCCATGCCACTTTCTGACCAACCCAGGTGTGGGTGATAGGGGCTCCCAGGGGCCAACAATTGAAATTCTAGTAAAATTCAATTTCCTCATACAAAGTTTGATTGTCAGTGTCGCGAGAATTTTAGAAAGGTTATTTCTTCCTATTCTTCTAAATTTTGTCACTTATCTATTGCAATAAATTCGCAACAACATTCTAAAAATCAGCTTAACCTCAGGTTGGCTTACTTGAAGGCGTAATGGCTGTTATGAAACAGTTGAATTGTTTAATCACAAAGATCAAAGATCGTCAATATCAGACTAGCTAATCGGCCCAAAAAATGGTTAACAATCATGTCTATTAAAACATTGAAAACTAAAATTGTTAGAGGACGTTATTTTTAGAAGAGACAATAAATAAAATTGCAAATATCGAACAAATGACTGATTTCACGAATAGTAAATAGCAGATTTTTTTCCAGTTCAAAGTTTAATTCTCTATTTAAGATACATCCAATTTTTCTGTTGGTAATGTTAACCTACCTACGAAACTTAAACAAAAATTAATCAGTGACATCAATTTGTTTTGCAAATCAGATTCAGTCCAGAAAATTTATAGCAACAACACCCCGTATATGTATGTCTAATAAATATAAATCGCATGTATTTTAGATCTACATAGTACACCTAACAAAAATAACAACAAAACCGCTTAGTATCACATTAAACGGAAGCGATTCATTTATCTTTCAAATTTATCGGCTTCCCGTCATTTTCTCTATCCTCATCTTTATCTTTGACAACGTCATCCGATTCCATTTTTATTTTACTGTGGTTATGACGCGTGGGTAACTCGATGAATAAGGATGCTCTTCTAAAGGGCAAATGATTATTGGGCGCTATCATCAACAAATTATTTCCATTGCGGTCGCAAAGTGGTAGTGGTTGATTCATCATATTACGACGCAATCTTGCCCTTGTTCTGAGCGTATGGGATCCGGATATGATGCTTTGGTGTCTTGTGATTGATACCACATCCTCGCACTTCACGCTAACTTGGATGGGACCTGTGTTTGTCTGCTGCCATTCCAGGACGTTTGTCAGTAGTCTTATATATCTAAGTAAAGAAAATAAAGTTTTTATCATACCGGGTATACAGGGTGTCCGGTAAGTATCTGCTAATCTTTGGAGAGCATATAGATGAGATCAAAATAAGTTCTTCAATAATTTTTCTTCTAATACAGTACTGGATAAAATTAAAAGAATAAAAAAAATAAGAAATTTGTTAGTGTCATTTGACAGGCTATATCTCATTGAAAAATAAGATAAAAAAATACAGTTTGAAGCTCAAGTCTCTAGTTTCAAGATTTTTTGACAAACAAATTTTTTGAGCTCCAGTTATTGCCCAGTCATTGACTGATGCACAGACCTCACATATTTTTTTCAAAATTTTGACAGAGGTCATGCTGTCAAAATGAAAATATTACATTTAGATACTCTAACGACTTTTCTTTTCGAGTTAAAGCAGTTTTTGAAACTTGCAGCAACAACCACAATTATTTTAAAAAGTGTTTCATGTATTTCGTTTATTTAACATTCAAAAATCTTTGAAAGGGTTGGTCATAGTATACGAAAGAGAAGTAAAAAATTAAAAATAAATATTTTTGTAATAGTAGAAAATGAGAAACAGTAATTATCACTTCGATAAGTAGTCAAAACTCGGCTACAAGTACACTTTTGGACATAAAATAACATTCCTGAATTGTTTCAAATCTGATTACAATTCTGTTATTCCCCAAAAATTATTTTTGGAAGATCCCACAGAAGAAAGTCTAATGAATTTATGTCTGGCGACCTTGGTGTAGGTATATAATATGCATCTAACTCATTTTGAACATTTGACTATCAAATCTTTATTTTTAAACTTGAACTTGTTTCTCGTAAACTATTTCAACTATATGGAAATAAATGAAGAGTACCCTTCCAAATAAAAATGTTTGCAGTATCTTAAAATATTTTCTGATCGATAGCATGATATCTAACAAAATTTTGTCAAAATGTTTTTATAGAAAGAATTCAAAACATAAATCTCTAGGTACCTGGGGCTCGATATCTTCATTAGAAGGAACATTATGAAAAAAAAGTTATAGGAAGAGGTAGTGTTACTTATTTATTTATTTTTGACCTCCCCAACAGCCTTCCGAGAGGTTAGTAGATACCGGACACTCTGTATTGGATGTCTCCAATTGCACACACTAAGAGTACCCGTCAAAATAAGAAAAGATGTTCATGTAAACGTAAATCGTATGATGCTTTGTTTTCGAGGTAGGGTTGAAATTAAAAAAAAATACATTGATTTAAATATATCTTAAATTGATAAAACTTGAAGCAATGACAATTATATGGGTAAAAATTCGTTGCTACACAAATCTATTAACCAGTGACGTAGATGCTGGGAGATCTCTGAAAATCCCAGAAAGTTTTGAATAATTACTCAATAATTATCAAAAAAATCATGTTTCCTTTTAAAAACAATTACTCAATTCACAAAATATTCAATGGCATTAAAATTCTGAGAATCTTAAGGCTTTTTTTCGCAAGTGAAGTCGTATGTTGTACTATATGTAGTTGAGTGAGTGAAGAGATTTAAACTACCATATGACAACTAAGATCAAAAGAGATAGAAATAGTAACTACGAGTCAGCTATTCACCAATATTCAGTACCGAAAAAAAGCCTTTAGTGATGCTATCTCCCAGCATCTCCATCACTGGTTGACAGATTTATATAGCAACAAGCAAATTTTTGCTCAAAATTAGTTGTCATTATCCGAGGTTTCATCAATCCAATTTAATTATTCTTATTTTTAGATATCTTATCACCAAGTAAAGTCTAGTGCAATTCTGGACACCTTAATGTAAATCATCATAGAAAAAAATATTTGTAAATTTATCGCATTAACCGGACACTATGAATAGTGTCATGTTAAACAGATAAATTTCATTATATTCAAATAAACGTGAATTAAGTTAAGTTGGGTTATGTAGACATACACCGTATGCAAACTCAGCAAAGCTAAATTTGCCTTTGTACTTATAATTTATATAACAATATAACAATCGAAACATGTACATAGATCTTTTCAAGGCCTTCTTAACTGATTGTTTAACGACACGGAGTTCTCGCCTGAAGATGTATCGAATTTGATAAAACTTGGTGGTGGTTGTAAGGGATGCTGAATGAGAATTCGTAATAAAATTTTGAAATCAGCCAAAAAATAAAGAAGTTACAAGGTCGTATCACATTTAAGCGCGACACTCTGTATATATAAAATCATTTTACTCTAGTAGTCGTAAAAGTATTAAACTAATTGAAATAAATTTAAAAAAGAGAATTATAAGTGCTCATTATAGTAGAAAGTTAAATTGAAATTAAGTTTGGGATGAATTACGCCGAATTTTTAGCTAATTATATTAATAATGTATTATAATCTTTGTGAAAATGTAACTCAAAGTGCAGCATTTAATCTAAAATACTATTTCTCGCATATAGGTACCTACAACGATAAGCAAAACTTTATGTTGGTGGTAAAGGATCTCGTTTAAGACATTCTCCATGGTTCATAGTTAAAATTGAAGTCTAAAAAAATTGTTTATGCTTTATAATTAATTGAAAGAATAAACTTTTCGCAAAGAAGTAAAAAACAGGACCAGTCAACATAAAAATTAAGTTAATGTATATTCAGAAATTAATCACTATCGTTTAACAAGGAAATGTGCAACGCAATAGTGAAAAATTACATTTAACAAAAAATGACCTTTACGTGAACTAATCAGCGGGTACCATTATGATTGCTATAAAGAATAAAGTTGCTTTCTAAAATAAAGTAATACAAAAATATAAACATGCCTTTGAACTGGAGTTAATGATAAAATTGTAATTTAAGTCATAGTTCGATATTTTGTATTCTCTTCCTGGTCATGTACATTTTTTTTATCTACAGGGTGTCCCAGTTGATACAAAAAAGTCGAGTACAAATAGATGAGGTCAAAATAATATCAGTTCTTCATATATTTTTTTCCATACTGGCCTTCGTTAATAAGTTGCGGGCCCCCAAAAGTGAAAATTAAAAAGTTATTTTTATTTACAGTCTCTAAACTATTAACTTCAGTATGATGTAAATTTGGTTATCGATAACACATGCGTATAGCTTGTTTTTGATAAAGTAAGTAGAACTTCATTATGCAAAGAACACCAGAAACGGACTATGCCCAATGGTTAACAACCCAGAATTTTTACATAGATGACGATCGCAATCTGCCTGTATCAAAAATAAGTTCCCTGAAAAATTTGCCAACGATAATACCGTCTTGGTTCAACTCGGTAAAATTAACAGTTTAGGAAATTCTTGTGATTTTATGTCACAGTGCACTCGAGCGGCGCCTCCACCATTTTAAATTTTAATTTTTAATTGGACTTAATTATTGGAGATATGTTAGAGCCGTACATATGTTTAAAATATGAGCCTAGAAAATCTTACTTCATATAATTTTCACTAACAAAATTTGACAAACACACTACACATAACAGAAAATAGTAAAACAAAACAAGAATAAGTTAAAGGAAAAGTAATTGAAAAGAAAGAAAACTACTAAAATACAATTTCAATATGGACACGTTTCACCTCCACACACTTCCTAAGTCTACGAATATCATTTATTTACGAAAAAGCGTTTCTAGGGTATGTCTAATAGTATCACAATGGAAATTAATTATTTGTACAATTCATCCCTTGTCTGTACTGGGGTTGCGTACACTAAACTTTTCAGGCAGGAAGAAATCCATCGGGTTAAAGTCTGGACAACGTGGTGGCCATGAAATTTGGCCTTCTCGTCCAATCAGTTTATTATTAAACACAATGGATAAATAATTTCGTACATCAATATTGAAATGGGTAGGCGCCCCATCGTGCATGAACCAAACGTTTCTCCAGGTGTCTAATGGAACATTGTCTAATAATGGCTGCAAATTATTTTACAAAAACCCCAAACATCGATGTCCATTCAGGTGTTCATCAAAAACATATGGATCTATTAAATTATTACCGGAGAAATGCATTTTCGTGCGTGTACAAACAAATAACATTCGTAGACTTAGGAAGTGTATGGAGGTGAAAATTTTGAGAGTTTTCTTTCTTTCAAATTATTTTTTTAACTTCCTTTAAGTTATTCTTGTTTTGTTTTTCTATTTTGTGTTGTGTAGTGTATTTGTCAAATTTTGTTAGTGAAAATTACATTAACAGACAGTAAAATTTTCTACTCTTATTTTAAAAATATGTACGGTTCTAACATAGCATTTATGTCCAATTAAAAATTGAAAACCAAAAATGGTGGAGGCGCCGCTCGATGTGCACTATGACATAAAATCACCAATACTATCTAAGCTGTTAATTTTACCAAGAAGGTATTATCGTTGGCAAATTCTTCAGGAAACTTATTTTTGATACAGGCAGATAGCGATCGTCATCTATACAAAATTTCTGGGTTGTAAACCATTGGGCATAGTCCGTCCCTGGCGTTCTGAGCATAATGAAGTTTCACTTACATATCAAAAACAAGCTATACGCATGTGTTATCGATCACCAAATTTGCATCATGCTGAAGTTAATACTAGTTTAGAGACTATAAATACAAATAACTTTTCCACCTTTGGGGGGCCGTAACTTGTTAACGAAGGCCCGTATAAAAAAAAATTATATGAAGAATTGATATTATTTTGATCTCATCTATTTGTACTCGACTTTTTTGTATCATGTACCGAGACACCCTGTATATGTCTACGTCAACGATTTTATAATGTACCTCTTTCCAGAGATATTAATTGTATATTAAACACAAACAACAATGGAATTTTGAGCACTTAAAAACTTATTTGTAATAACAATAATTAGTTATTACTAATCAAGGTCATAAGTTTTCTGAGAGCCATTGGAAATACTTCCATCGAATATTTTAATATAATTATATTTTCCTTGGAACGCCTATCAGCTTGAATAACTAACGAATAATTATAATTCAGCAAATGCAATGCTGGGCTATTTAATGTCTTGGCCACTTATAGACAATTTACATCGTAAAATTTGTAGTAATAAAATACTAGTTCAAGTTTAATTAGTGCCTATTTTATAGAGATTTATTTATATTTTCCAGTTAACAGAAACAGACAGTATAACCTTGAAAAACTAATGAAGATAAAAGTATAACAATAGGAGTTGATTAATATAGTCCATTTACGATAAGTTTGCAATGATGTCACATTTAGTAAATAAATGCAGCCGATAGAATAATCCTAAATTACTACTCTGTTTCTCGTTACTAGGAAATTATATTGTTTTAAGTTTACCATACTTTGCGACGTCGACAGACATTTGTCGTATCAAAAATAATTTTTGACTGTTTCCCAAATTATATAAATAGGCTTCATATTATGTGGTTCTAGGTTACATTTTTAATAAACTGGGTTTGCTGTCAAAAGTTAATTTTCTTAGATATCCTGAATTGTAATCTAATTGCAAATTTATCGTAAAAGGGCTCCTATAATTTCCATGTACTAAAATTTTCAATACAATTTGTTATACATATTTCTATTTCAACCACCTCACAATTTTAGAAATTTTAGAATCGCAATTATAAACATAACAAGTGACACTTAATTTTGGAAAGATTTTTGTTCAGAACATAAATAAGTCTCACCTTATCGCCATCCTTAAAATTTCATTTTTGGACAACTTCTTATCTGGAGGATGAGTTGGTACTAGTTTTCTAAGTTCAGCAAATGCTCCACTAACGTTCTGCTGCCTCCATCTTTCCCTGCTGTTAGTAAATATTTTCTTTACCACCCCTCTTACCGGTGTCTCCACAGGGGTCTAATATAAAAAAATATGGATGAGATATAACCCTTAAAATATGTCATATCATGGATGATACTGACAAATGATTTAAAATATAAATATAAAAAATTATAGGAACAAAAAATGTTCATNTTGTGGTATCGTGTGCTCGTGTGTCACGGGAGTAAACCTTTGCTTCTAGATTTAAACGGTATCAAGATGGATGCAGTACATTTTTATTCGATCAGTTGGGAACAGCGCTCGTCTTAGTCTGTCCTTTATAGTGACATTCTAAATAAACAAGGGCTTAGTAGTCGAGAAGTTGAGGACCGCTTTTAGTTTGTGTAAATAAGATTTCTTTTTATCTGAAGCGACTCGTAACTGTGAAATTATCGAGTCGAGGAAGAAGATCATTCTGTACAAATTGTTTTATAAAACCAGGAAAGTGCCGCTACTTTAAGTTTAAAAAAGAGACTTTAAAGTATACGTACAGGGTGTTCTGGAAATAAGTGCAACAAATTTATATAGGACTTGATACTGCTTATAAAAATGAAGATGTAGGATGCTAGGATTTGTTTTTTGAAGTTTTGATTACTTATTGTCTTTAAATTTGATACACTCATTATTGACAACAAACAGCCCTTACGAAGTCATCATTATAATTTTGAAATCCTAAATTCCTAACTGTCTTTATTAACTGGAAAATTATTCTTGATTTATTATCAATCAAAGCTTAATATTATGATTTCGATAAAATACTTAAAATTTTGGAGCTGGATTCAAACAAAAAAGAAAATTTTGTTCTACACAGTCAGAAGCGAGTATTAAAACATGACAAACCATTTTTAATTGTGTTGATTAATAAAAAAAATTGTGAAATTTAAAAATAACTGCGATTTACAGAGATTTGAAGGGTAAAAAAGCCTGCTAGACTTTACCAAGGCTTTTGACACCCTGCATTAAAATATACAGAAACCCATCCCAATTATATTAAAAAAGCCAAAACACGTCAAAATATTTTTAAGATACTTATTTTGTTGTATTCTAATACCATTTTAATACCTTTTGATCATCTTGGTACAAATAAAGTTAGTCTCCTATTGAATTTTATCGAAAATTGTAATAAAAATAGAAACAAACTTTCAGATAAACATATCCTTAATGCTGGGTTACCTCAGAGCACAATATTAGGACCATTGCTGTTTTGCATTTATTCTAAGAATCTTTGCAATGAGTTTATTCAATAAAAATATGTCGATGTTATAAAAAAACATAGTTCAGACCTTAGAACTATAGAAAATAAGTTGGTTAAATTGACATATCTTGGTTGATTTTAATTGTACAAACAACTTCTACCAGGCACCATTTTAAAGGCCTAGAAACCAGCTTTCATTTGAATATGGCATTACATATACCTAAATTAACTCAGAAAAAAGTTATAAGACGAAAATCGTCAAAAAGGGCAAAAATTGGCCAAAAATCCAAAAAGTAGCCAACTTTGATCCAATGTATCTCGGTTTCTATTAGTCGTAGATACTTTTATAAAGGTTTATTTTAAAGGAAAAAACATTAACTTTTTTTCTATGAAGCAATGCCTACATCTAACTCCTCTCAGAAAAATGTTGTGGGCCAAAAACCAAAAAGAAAAAAAAACGCATTTTTTCGTTTTTTTTTTACTTGTTTTTTGGGCATATATTTGTTAAAAATACATTTTTTGACTTCAAAAGGTCTCATTTCGATTGGAAATTCAATTTTGACAACTTTTCTGATGACAACTATATAGAAAAAATTCATAGTTTTCGAGTAAAACACAAAAAACTGAAAATACCACCTTTTTACTTCATTCTCAAAAACGCACCCCTTTGAAAGGTAGCACTCCGCGGATTTATCATTTTTTAGGGTCAATTGAACATATCAAACAATAAAATTTCTCTTACGTTGTAGTTCCTATCTAAAGTGCATAGTCAATAGCCTATATATTGGGTTATTGTTATTATTATTATGATTATCATTATTATTATTATTGTTATTTATTTATTTATTTATTTTTAGGGCCTTAAAAAACGAACTGACGTATTTATTTATTTATTTTTAGTGCCTTAGAAAACGAATTGACGTATCTGAATTTTTCAGAATTTGTTGCGTTAGTTTTATAATTTCAGAGATCACTTTTTCATGCCATGATATTTATCTATCTGCCTCACAGCAATAAGAAAATAACGAACTGGCGTATCTGATATTATGTGTTCAGATAAAACAGTTTATATAGTCAATTTTGCATTTTTTCAGGACATCTCCAGAAAAACTTGTGTTTTGTCTATTGTATTATTAAAATAAGAAGTGGATCTTATTTGTGGAAGGGCGAAATGGGCGGTGACTATTAGACGCCTTCATTATAGCCATCTTTCTCTATCGCACGGATTTCTATGACTTTCTTTATCGCTCTCACGTAACGGTCGATGAACCATGGGGACTTTCCGACCCTGTATATAAAATTTTTTTTAGGGAAATTGTGTATTATCTGGATGTATTGTATCAAAAAAAAAATCATTCTATGGAACTAAATGGGAACTAAATTTGACTGTACTATGTCGAAATCTGTCTCATATTAACTGTCGTACATATCGAATTTGAAAATGAGAATAATACTTTTTTTAACAAGTGCTTTTGAATGCTCTTTTGAGAAATTTTAGAGGCTCTTGTATTTTTTATAATTGAAAATTAATTTGAGGAAGCTGCGAATATAATTCTTCTTACCACAATACAAAATTTTGATATTATAAATTGACATATCAAAATAAAAAGAAACAACTAAAATGTTATGAGATTTTCATTTGTTTTTAAGCTATGTATGTTTCAATAAAAAATAACCATTTATTTATATTCTATGAATCATAGCGTTCTTTAATTAAATGTTCAAAAACACCACCATTGACTTCTAAAATGCTTTCTGCTTTGTCTACGAAGGACATATGTAACTCTCATGCTTGCTGCATGTTTTTCTTTAATCAGTGCTGAAGTATTGACGATACATCGAATTAATTCCTCCCGAGTATTCACTCTAACTTTGTACAATTCATTTATGAACCAGGTCCATAAATAGTAATCTAGTGCTGTGAGGTCTGAAGATCTTGAAGGCCAACAATAGGACCATTGACGATATTCTTCAACAGCAGCACTATCATTCCCATTACAAAAACCATAAACAAACACCATATTTGCATACTCTAAATTTGAAAAAGTTCTTAACATTTTATAACCCTTTGAACATACAAACGTGTAATCAAACAATGTTAAACTATTGCAACATAAAATGACACTGACAAATATCCTACTTTTGAACTCGCAACATGACACTCTGATTTCAAATTTTTAAAATTTGCAAGTACGCTATAACCTGAAAACAAATGAAAATCACAACATATGAGTTTTTCTTCTTATTTCCTGGAGTTTGGTACGATTCTCCCGACTCACCATGTATAAAATTTGAAGTGTTATACATAAGTATAAAAAAAATTAAATTATTATGAAAATAAAGAGAGTTTGTTATTTTTTATACCTAATTGTATAAGGGAAAGTTACTAACAAGTTTGAGACAGTAGAATGAATTTCACATGACTGAAGAAAAAATCACTGAAGTTTGTCCAACTTCTGTCACAGTATTCAAAATCTCTAAAACATTGCAAAATCAACGTGTTTTTGTTTTATAATGGGACAAAATGCTAGAAACAGATAAATAGTGTACCCTAAACTAGGTGTGGTAACAATGTTGTGACAAACTCAGGATTTTATTTTCCATTGTCTTAAGATAAACATTTTCCCTTAGCGGATATTTGCATAATGTCAACAAGTACCTGTACCATGTGATGGGAGGAGTACCGAACGTCAACCCTTTTCTCGTCGTCGCTATCTATAACTGAAAATTCATCAGAGAAGTCGTCGTCGTCGGAAAGCGAGTCCGGGTCCTGATTTTGACCGGATCGTCCAACATTTGGTGATGATGAAGTGCTGTAATCTGTGTTTTCTCCATCGCCAGACCACTCCATGTCTACTGGACTGGCGCTGCTGCATGTAAGCATAGGCTGAAGCAAATAATTCACACAAAATAGTAACTCTTAAATATTTACAAACATTTACGATTTTAACACTCGGTCTTGTGGAAAGCATAATGTCACATTGAGATTAATCTCATTACAATGAAAGATCAGTTACATAGATTAGAATATGGGTAAAATTAAATAAAATACTTTATTATTAGTTTTACACTGCATATTTTGCTTTCAGTTGTATTTTTTCTATCTTCAAAACAAAATCTATTTAATGCTTTTGCCAGTATTTGTCAGATGCCTGTTGTACTAGAAACTAATTGTTAATTAGAAATAACTGACTTCACTGTTACGTAATCAAATAAAAAAACTGGCGAAGGTTATGTTTAATGAAGCAAACGTTGTTGGATACAAGTTATTTTATTTCACAAAATTTAAACCATCTATGTTTCTCAATTTCACAAAATAAAATGACAGGTATATATTTAAATAAACCTGCATTTTCATGTTAATATTTCTAAAATAAATCATAAATTAAGTGTAGCAAGCTTAAGCATTCTTGTAGGGATCCTTACTGAAGGTAATTTGGAACATAAATACTTATATTTGTTCTGTTCTCAATGGTATACCATTTAAGACAGCACTACCGTTTATTCAGTGTTCCTCGACCACAATTATAATTTTAGGTTTAGTATTGCAAATAAAAATTATCATCTCATTGGATGAAGTATAAACTCTTTTTGGAATCTATAGGGCGATCTAATGATAATAATAATGATAATTATGTAATACATAATTACTGAATAATTTCTTCTTTTTTCTAGAGTGAGCCTTGCAAATTCCTCCTGGGATTATCTACAGCTACACTATTGTACAATCCTATGATGGACAAATACAACTGGATTCGAACTAACAGCTGAATACGTAGATCGATCTTTGAGTACTCAACTACCGCAGCTCCTATTACTGCGTTACAACATTTTAGAATATAACTTGACCCAACATAATCATATTAATGGTAAAGTCGTGTTGACTGAAAAATATATTAATATAGGTACCTACACTATAAGCTGACTTAGAATCGAAAGATCACAGTACATTAAAGTTGATTCAGTACGTGTTAAATTTATATAAAGCTCAAATAAAAAACAAAATTGAACTATTGCTGTATCCAATGCAAATTTTTGAACAATTTGAAGCAATTAAATATTTTTTTATTTGCATTCATATAACTGCAATCTAAACAATTCTAATAGGTATACCTGCTTCAGTTATTTATGCATCTGAACTGTACAGCGATACAATTTTTAAGTATTTTGTAGTAGACATCTTTACCGATTTTTAATTTAATGAGGGTGAAAGTTAAAACTTTGTAATGATTTGTTGTCTGCGTGAATTTAAACACAATTGCCAATGCTAGAAGATTACACAGCCGCACAAAAAAATAGTATCGGATCTGGTATTCAGATTCTTGTATTTCCATGTATTTTGTTCCGCTGAATCCGAATCTGCCTTCAGATTTGGTCCAAAGGGTCTGAGTTTTCGGGAAAATTCAAAAAACAGGTCATAGTTCACAACACACGTCATTTACGATCTAAAGTTATAAAAAATCAAATTATTCTACCAACTCACTAGACGTTTGATTTTTCACCCGTTTAATTCCAATTTATCATCAGACAAGCTGGTCCAATTTCATTCAAAAACAGAAAATAGATCAAAACGCCATTTTCATGGCATAATTCGTGTTGCAGCAACAAAAATAAGAATGATTTGTAGATATAGTTTTATTTTGTTTAAAAAGTAGAGTATTCTACAAGTTTTATTGCATTCTCAAACTTCTACGCTGTTATCTCATCTCTTAGTACAAAAAGTAGATGGATAGATGGGTGGATGGGTGGGTTTTATAGGTGGTATAGGTGGATGAATAAATTCATGCATGAATGACTAGATAGAAATATGTATGAATTCATAAATGGGTGGGTGGATAAAAAGATGGATCCAGAACTCTGCAACACGAATTATGCCAAGAAAATGACGTTTTGATCTATTTTCTGTTTTTGAATGAAATTGGACCAGCTTGTCTGACTCTAAGATGATAAATTGGAATTAAACGAGTGAAAAATCATACGTCTAGTGATCTGGTAGAATAATTTGATTTTTTTAACTTTCGTCGATCGTAAATGACGTTTTTTGTGAATTTTGACCTGTTTTTTTAATTTTTCCGAAAACTCAGACCCGTTGGGCCAAATCTGAAGGCAGATTCGGACTCAGCTAAAAAAAAATACATGGAAATACATGGGTCTGAATACCAGATCCGATACTTTTTTTTTATGGGTCTGTGTTATTAAAAATAAACAGGGATGTAATTAGGTATGCTTGTTGTTTAGATAAACAAACCAAATTTTGCTTTTGAAATATCTAAATTAATTTTAGAAGGAACAGGTTTAAACCGATAACACCAAACAGAAAAATCTACTTCTATGCTACTGTAATAGAACAATCTTATGTGTGCATTCATGTTACCTTACCATTTGTGAAACTTTTATCTTTTTCCAGGAAACCAAAAAAATCCTAGATCAGCTCACTGTCAATCACTTTTAGATGCATTTAAAATCTGCACATTTTGTCACCACGCACATTCAGAATTCGGATATAGAAGTGACCGGAATAACAATATAACCGTATCAGCATCACACATCCCGTTGGAGCCTTATCAGCGGCAGCCAGACACCCCCGCCAGGACCAATGGGCACGTAGGTGGGTGGCGTCTTTCAGAGAGAGTCCCGCCCTCAGCCCTAAAGACCAGGGGGATGTTGGGGTGAGAGTCCTCCAAATTATGAATATTGGCTGATTGATACATTGAAAATTAGTTTTTTACGCTTTTTTCTGTACAGGGTGAGAAAGTAGCTAAATCATAAATATTTCTTTGATACTTCTCCTTCCCTTTAAATACGTCAGCATAATATTTATTATTATGTATTATTACCTGTTATTACACCTTTTTTCATCCTACAAGGCAGTTGTTAGATCTTGTTGCAATAGAAAACCTTGGCAATAGAAAATAAACATCATTTCTAGAAAAAATATACAAAATTCGAGAAGATAATTAAAGAGTAAATTAATAAAATACCACCATAATAAACGTGTGAAAGCTCGACTGGCGGAAATATCTTTTACATATAGAATTTTTTTATGTACTGACTTAATATAATGATCCGATGAAAACTTTTTGGGACCGCTGAATCCACCGATAGCATGGGGTTAACTCGCAGTTCAGTTTTGAACAGCATTTCCATACGTTATCTCCATATCCATCAATGTATTGTCACTGTTAATTTAATTTAAATCATAATTTATTAACAAACAGTTTACGATGAAAACCACAAATTGAAAAACTGTAATAAATCTTCAAAAGTTAACCTAGACTGACAACGACAAAATAACTAGTAAGTAATAGTAGTAGTTGATGAACACTTAAGAAAAACTTGCTAAATGTAAACAAATGCAGTATAATATGGACGACTGAATGATCGAGATTGTCAACATGTATGTCGATTTGATGGACTACTTAATATACAGGGTGATTCACAAATAGTGACCAAAAATGACACCTCGCTTTCTTTGGTGAATTTTAAAAACGCTTCGTTAAAAAGATACAGGGTGTTAAACTTCAAAAAATATTAAATAATTTAAAAACTAATAAGTGAAATAATTTGAAATTGGGCACATGTATTTATGTAAACATTGTCCAAAATCTGACGGCTTTTCCTAAAATTTACATCCTCCAGTGACGAAGACACAGGGTATCGGTGGCATATTTTTCTAAATAAAATAGTAGCCCACTGCTTTACGGTAACAACCATGTTTCTTCGTTCAATTTTCTACAAATTACTATTCTCTTATGTTTTTCGAAAAAAGCCTGATTTTCGAGTAAAACTTAAAAAACAAACTGAGAACAGCCTACGATATTCGAATACAATGCTTTTTAACATTGCATAGGGGGCTGCGATAACAACTTTGACATTATGAGCAGTTAGAAGAAAGAATAAATAATGCTTTTCATTAGATTCAAGCAACAATAAATTTCGAACAAACTACATTTTCGTTACTAAAAAGATGTCGCTCCTGTGTTCGTGGAAATGGAGGTATTTTTGAGCATTTACTCAAATAAAATCATTAAAATGATGACTAATGTTATTAATTTCTATATTCGAATAAATAACCGAATGATTGGTGCTTGTCATGTCATTTAATTAAAAATGTTTTCAGTTGGTTTTTTAAGTTTTACTCGAAAATCAAGCTTTTTCGAAAAACATAAGAGAATAGTAATTTGTAGAAATTTTAAAGACGAATCCGAAAATATAATGGTAGTTATCGTAAAGCAGTGGCGTACTATTTTATTTAGAAAAATATGCCACCGATACCCTGTATCTCCGCCACTGGAGACAATGTTTACATAAATATATGTGCCCAATTTTAAATTATTTCTTTTACTAGTTTTTAAATTATTTACTTATTTATATTTTTTTATGTTGAACACCCTGTATCTTTTTAACAAAGCGTCCAAAGAATACGAGGTTTCATTTTTGGTCACCATTTGTGAATCACCTTGTATTTATTTGTTAAACGTAAACGGATGACGGATCGTGTGAATGGCGCACGTCGATATATTCTAAAGCTTGTCACAAAATGAGAGAATACCGAATGAGATTTTTAGATGAACATCAACCAGGACAGTGTTCAGCAACTCATTTAGAAGATTTAGCGGGACTGGTAGTACTGCTCTTCAAAGAGCATTTCGTCTTCATTAGGCAAATCTACGGAATGAAGAAAACATCATGCAGCAATCGAAAATCCTCAAATTAGCACCAGTCGAATGAAAATTAAGATTATCGAAAAGTTTCGTATGGCGGGTGCTACATCAGAGGTGTTGCATTCTTGTCATCAACAGGACGTCAAGCATTACAACCTGAAGATGCTCAACAGAATGAAGGATTGGAGAGTTTCATGTCAGATGAAATCACTTCTTCTTATAATGATCCAATCTGATTCTTGGACAATCCAAATGCAGTTAGATCGCTGCATTTTTTTCAAAAATTTAACATTAAATAGAATTATTAACTCAAACATTATGACAAGATGATAAACAGCACAATGTTACTCCACTTCATTGCAACAAATACATATGAAGCAAGTGGCATATTCGCTAAATATGGGCTGTATGGACAAGTAACAGTGGACATGGACATTGAAATATCAGGATCTAAACCCTTGTAGCTTTTATTTAAGGGGTTACTTGAAGCAACTCATATATGAATGTGAAGTAACTGATCGAAATCAATTATTATTACAAAGAATCCAAGATAGTGCAACTTATACTAGAAACAATATCATGGTTTTTCTTATTTGCTGTAATAAACGCTAGAAGATCGTCCTATACAGGGTGATTCAGTCATAATTCATCATAATTTTAAGAGCAGATAGATACAAATGAGTATAATACGATGGGGTGATTAAAAAAAAATTAAATGCATATTTAAGCTGAAAAAAATTTTTATTTTTTCAAATCATTATTTAACCCCCTTTTCAGGCTGTTACTGACCGGTTGACGTCAGCCGGCTACGATATGAACAAAGCGACCTAGATGCAATGTTTCCATATTTATATATTTTCGCACATATAAAGACAATAAATAAACGGTTTGCTCACGTCAGCCAATAATAATTTAAAATGCTATAAATTATTTTTTATAATTATGCAATCAACATATTAAATTGTTATTGTTGCCCAGCAAGAACCTCGAGGAGGTCTGAGCATGCCTTGCCAAAAATCAGTTTTTATTAACATCATAATGTTAATTTTTTGATGTAAGCAAATGTTCAAATACATTACCGTTACCGTCTATGCACAAGTGTACACGTTAGATAGATGAGCGGCGGATGCGATGGAATAAACCAGGGTTGTTACGTATTTCTTCAGCGGCATCTTCGATACGATTCCGCAACTGCTCTACATTCTCTACCTCGGTGTGATACACGACAGATTTCATATAACCCCATATACAAAAGTCCATAGGATTATGGGCCCTCATCTCCCTATCCACCGATTGGGACATTGATCGTCTAAAAATCCACGGACATCGCGAGCAAAATGGGCCGGATCTCCGTCGTGCATATACCACATATCCCGTAGCATCTGAAGGGGAAGGTTTTCAAACAATTCTACTAAAAATTGAAAGTAACGCGGCCCATTCCGATGTTCAGGTAGAAAATGCGGCCCATTAAACGATCGCCATATACTCCTGCCCATAATACATCGACACCGAATCTCCTATGAAAGCTAAACCGACGAGTAGTGTGCGGGTTTTCATCTGACCAAATGTGACTATTATGGCTGCAAAGAAATTAGCTCTGTCTCACTTTAAATAAAATTTAATATTGAAGTTACAAAACTCCAAGAGTTCAAGTAATTTAAATTTCATTTCACAACCATTTCAATTTCATTACAAAAATAATGATATAAAAAACCAACACTCACTAGATAAATTATAAAGAGAGGGTGAAATGTATGTAGTATTTAAATACTGACTGTTATAGAAGATAAAAAAACAATAGGACGGAGACAAGTAAACAACTCGGTACGTGATTCCGACCTAGATTAACCTGTATCTAGGTCAACCACGATCCTTTTTTACGGACCGTGTAGGTCAATGACCCACTTTTTAATTTGCACGTGTACAAATAGTCCAGGAGCCAGATAGAGTGCCGTGGCAAACAGAGTCACACGGCTGCAAACAATGTAATGAATACGGATGATTGTTTTCCAATGTACGGTTATTACAATTTATCATTTTTAATATTATTAACGTTTTCACGTTTTATAATTTATTATGTTAAATAATACACAGTTTTAGTATTTCAATTTATTATTCAATATGCAGTTGCGTATAACCAAAGTTTACATAATAAATGTAAACTTTAGTGTAAATCTAAACTTTGGTGTAACCTAGGTAGGCACTTATTGTTTTTGAGAAAGCAATACTTATGTTTTTTACCTGTTTAAAATGCCAGCACGAGTAAAACAGCATTCATCCGTCCAGAGCACTTTGTTAATAAAGTTCTGCTGCACTTAGGAACCAATTGCAAAATTCAAGACGATTGGGGAAATCAGCTGCTTCTAAAGCTTGAACTTTTTGAAAATGTGTTATGTTAACTCCTTTGCGGGAAAAATGCGGGAGATATGGAGGGTGGTAGATTTGAATAAACGCTTTAAATTGTTAGGTAATGGTTTTGTAACCGTGTGTAGTGTATTTTGTATATTCGGGTATTTAGTGTGCCGACTTTTTTTATTTGATAAAATACAGTGTGCCTACAAACCTCTGCTTTATTTATTTTCTTTTAACGAAAGTTGACTTCGAGAAGTCAGGCTTGTTAAAACATTTTGCACTAAGTTAATACAATTATTAAAATTAGTTATAATAAAATGCAGCATGATCCTTTATTTACTTGCATTTTATTGGTTTCGTACATATGTATCCGTATACTAAAGCGGATTAATTAAATGTGAACACAGATTATGATGTGAACTTGGCAACGCTGTTCGCTTCAGCTGACGATTTGTTCGTGACATTACGTTACAAAATTT